CCCATGTCCACTGAGCCAGTTACCTCATCATAGAAGCTAATCAGATTGGTCAGGCACGACTTGCCCTTCGTGAATTCATGCTGACTATTCCTAATCACTTTCCTCTCATCCAAGTGCCTCAATATGGATTCCTTAAGGATCCCTTCCATGATTTTTCCAGGAACCGAGGTAAGACTGACCGGCCTATAGTTCCCTGGATCATCCTTCTTCCCTTTTTTGAAGATGGGCACTACATTTGCCTTTTTCCAGTCATCCGGGATTTCTCCCGATCTCCATGACTTTTCAAAGATAATAGCCAAAGGCTCCACAATGACATTTGCCAACTCTCTCAGTACCCTCGGATGCACTAAGTCCGGACCCATGGATTTATGTACGTTTAGCTTTTCTAAATAGTTCCTAACCTGTTCTTTACCCACCACGGGCTGTCCATCTTCATCCCATCTTGCGTCACTTGGCGCAGAAGTCCAGGAGCCGACCTTGTCCGTGAATACAGAGGCAAAGAAAGCATTGAGTACTTCAGCTTTCCCCACATCATCTGTCACTAGGTTACCTCCTTCATCTGTTGTTCCTGAACAGTCTATACGCTTCCATGACAGCGCTCCAGTCATGCGAGTCATCCCACCAAGTCTCTGTTATCCCAATTAAATCATATTTCTTGGACTGGGCCAGGGCCTCCAGTTCTTGCTGTTTGTTGCCCAGGCTTCTCGCATTAGTGTACAAACAACTCAGGTAACCAGTTGATCGCCCTATCTTCTCCATTCGAAACAGGGGTCCTCCTTTCTTGTTAGTTCCTCTCTGCATTTCTTCCCGGTATCCGACTTTCCCACTCCCCTCAGGGTTTTGGTCACCGTCCCCTGACAAACCTAGTTTAAAGCCAGGTAACCAGTTGATCGTCCTATCTTCTCCATTCAAAACATGGGTCCTCCTTTCTTGCCCCTTCCTCTCTGCATTTCTTCCCGGTATCCGACTTTCCCACTCCCCTCAGGGTTTTGGTCACCGTCCCCTGACAAACCTAGTTTAAAGCCCTCCTCACTAGGTTTGCAAGCCTGCCTGCGAAGATGCTCCTTCCTCTCTTCGTTAGGTGGATCCCATCTCTTCCTAACAATCCTTGTGCCCGGAACAGAGTCCCATGGTCGAAGAAACCAAAGCCCTCTCTGCGACACCACCTGCGCAACCACGCATTTACGTCCTCAATTCGACGATCACTGCCCAGTCCTTTCCCTTCAAGAGGGAGGATGGACGAGAACACCACTTGTGCTCCAAATTCTTGGATCCTTCTTCCCAACGCTACATAATCCGCAGTAACCCACTCAAGGTCATTCTTGGCCGTATCGTCTCTTTAATCTCTCCTCATATGGGACCCGTTCCAAACCCCTAATCATTTTAGTTGCCCTTCTTGGAACCTTTTCTAATGCCAGTATATCTTTTTTGAGATGAGGAGACCACATCTGTACCCAGTATTCCAGATGTGGGCGTACCATGGATTTATATAAGGGCAATAAGATATTCTCTGTCTTATTCCCTATCCCTTTTTTAATTATTCCTAACATCCTGTTTGCTTTTTTGACTGTCGCTGCAAACTTTGCCACCTCACTTGTGCACTTAGTGGTAGATATTGACATCTCTGGGTGGCCCCTAACTAAAAATGGACTGATTTTCAGAAGTGCTGACCACCCACTATTCTCCAAGGCCTACAATGGAAGTTATGGCCTCTTGGGACCTCTGAAAACTAGGTTACTCCTAAGCAGGGGGCTACATTTGAATTTAGACACCTATTCTTTGGTGCCAAATCTTTGATTATAAATTCTTTGGAAAAGGGGCTTTGTCATCTTCTATGTAATAGGCAGCGTGAAGTACATCAAGAATTTCATAAATCAGACTTCATCAGCTCTCTCAGGTGGGGTCAGTGATTTGGAGAGGGAGGGCCAAGGCACTGCCACAGAAATAGGGCAGTAAAAAAGTTTGCCTTGTGATCAAGGTGTCATGTGCCTGTGTATGTGAAGCATGTGCGAGAGATGGGTCCAAAAACAATATGCCTGAACCAAGCCACTGAGATATGTGGGTTGCTTGTACAACCCAGAGGCACTGAGACCACTGAGAAACAGAATGAAGTCTGCTCCACAACTTTAGCAATGAGGCAGTTGGCTTTTGGCTTCTACTGTAGAGACACATGACTTTAGCTTCTAAGGTCCCAGGTTCAATCCCACCTGTGAACGATCCCAGTTGTCAGCTTTACACTTGCAATTCAGATGCAGACTTGAACTTTGCAGTTCGGGCCCCTCTCTAGCAAATGAATGTTCCAGACAAATAAAACGTTCCGCAAATAGTTCACAGTGAATGGGGACAATGCTTCTCTGCTGTCCTAGCCCATTGGACTTATTCTGACAGAAGTAAAATTAAAATACATTCACCCATCAAATAAAAGGCAAGAGCTCCAGCTGCAGTTTTCTGGTGCCCTATCGAAACACAAAGCAATCTAACATTTGCTTCCAAATAGCCTATCAAAGAACAACAACAAAACACCGCATTCTTTAAATCAATGAATCCACAACTAGGCCAGTGGATTCCCTTTTAATCCTGTAGGACAATATGTCTCTTCTCTAGTGCTTTTGTCCATTGGAATTGTTATTCTATTTGCAAAAAAGCACCTTGATCTTTACATATTATTAATTGCATTTTCTACACTAAAGGTAACACAGAATGTACAGCTGTTGACCCAAGAACTGAGGGCTAAAAAAGAGTAAAAATAATTTAAAGGAAATCCTAATAATTTTTACCACAGAATTTGAAACGGATGATTTTATTCCAATCAATGAATGTCTCTTAATGTGTGTAAGTCTCCAGTAAGCTGTCAACTTTCAATTCAGTTATGTATCAGAGTTGGTAGAAAACACATCTAGGCTACTAGTGTTATTATTGATAGAGTAATTAAAATTTTGAGTGGCTGACTAGTCTGACTACCTTGAAGATCTAAAGCTTGAAGCTCTGGGGCATTTGTTTTCCAGAATCACTTTATTAGGCTACTTCCATATTTAGTTTTGATAACATTGCTCTGAGAGTGAAGGGGGAGATAACAATGTAAAATTTATGCATGAGCCTATTGATTCAAAACATGTAGTAAATGAGTGTGGCAAATGGAAGGAGAGCTGACATCCATTTATCAAAAAATACGGAACAAGACCCAGATGTTACAACTGTAGGAATGCTAAAAATTTCATCATTTGCTTTCCAGACAAGTAAGCCATGGAAGGTCAGGCCAATCATATTTTGGTTTCAGGCTGAACAAGAACTGTTGAGAACCTTTCTTTTTTAAAGCACAGTATCCATTACCAACGGATGTCAGAGATTCTCTTATATAGGGACCATTTAACAGTTCTACTTAAAGGTGGAAAAATATCCATAGCAAAGTACCAACATATCTATTTAGAGGAAAAGATGGAGCTATGTACACAGGAGATGAGGCTTTTATTTTCACAAGCTAATAACAGTAAGTTTTATTCCACTGTCTTCTAGTCTCAGAGTTGGAGAAGTGTATTACAAAAATGGAAAGTTTTGTATGATGTGTATGAAATATGTTTTGGGGATCTTATTTCAGGAAGGTGAGCAGACCAGCCCATGTATTTGCACAGTGCTGATTTATGTGTGTATAAACTGCATAGTGTGTTATTTTTGTCTATAAAGCGCCTACCTGGGGCTCTGGTTCATGCATGGGGCTTCTAGATGTTACCACAATACCTATTTATTATTAATTATTATTATTACTATAATAATTTGTCACAGAACTCATAAATGATCTGGAAAAAGGGGTAAACAGTGAGGTGGCAAAGTTTGCAGACGATACTAAATTGCTCAAAGTAGTTAAGACCAAAGCAGATTGTGAAGAACTTCAAAAAGATCTCACCAAACTAAGTGACTGGGCAACAAAATGGCAAATGAAATTTAATGTGGATAAATGTAAAGTAATGCACATTGGGAAAAATAACCCCAACTATACATATAATATGATGGGGGCTAATTTAGCTACAACTATTCAGGAAAGAGATCTTGGAGTCATCGTGGATAGTTCTCTGAAGACATCCACACAGTATGCAGCAGCAGTCAAAAAAGCAAACAGGATTTTAGGAATCATTAAAAAAGGGATAGAGAATAAGACTGAGAATATCTTACTGCCTTTATATAAATCCATGGTACGCCCACATCTGGAATACTGCGTACAGATGTGGTCTCCTCATCTCAAAAAAAAAATACTGGCATTAGAAAAGATTCCAAGAAGGGCAACTAAAATGATTAGGGGTTTAGAACAGGTCTCATATGAGGAGAGATTAAAGAGACTGGGACTTTTCAGCTTGGAAAAGAGGATACTAAGGGGGGGATATGATAGAGGTCTATAAAATCATGAGTGGTGCGGAGAAAGTGAATAAGGAAAAGTTATTTACTTGTTCCCATAATATAAGAACTAGGGGCCACCAAATGAAACTAATGGGCAGCGGGTTTAAAACAAATAAAAGGAAGTGCTTCTTCATACAGTGCAAAGTCAATCTGTGGAACTCCTTGCCTGAGGAGGTTGTGAAGGCTAGGACTATAACAGGGTTTAAAAGAGAATTAGATAAATTAATGGAGGTTAAGTCCATAAATGGCTATTAGCCGGTATGGGTAAGGAATGGTGCCCCAGCCTCTGTTTGTCAAAGGGTGGAGATGGATGGCAGGAGAGAGATCACTTGATCATTACCTGTTCGAGTAACTCCCTCTGGGACACCTGGCATTGGCCATTGTCGGCAGACAGGATACTGGGTGGATGGACCTTTGGTCTGACCCAGTATGGCCATTCTTATGTTCTTATGTTAACTCACAGATTCCATGCCTTTCAGAGACTTCCAAGACATTTTCTCCTTCAGCCCTGAGTCCCAGGACAGCAGGGCCAGAACTGTCAATGATTGGGGGGGACCTGGAGATCTGAGCAACTGGTCCCAGACCTCTTAGCTGCCACTGGCAGTGAGAGGGGAGGACCATTCCAATTTTTCTCATATTCTAGAGTAAGGTACTATACAATTACCCACATTAATTTTAGTGAGACTGTTTGCGGAATAGAGAAGTGTGGGACAATATGGCCCATTTGTCACTGTTGTATTTAGTACAATCATAGGTAGGTCACGGGCAATAAACAGAAATTTATGGAAGCTTGTGACTTGTCCCTGACTTTTACTAAAAATAACTGACAAAATCTTAACCTTAATAATATTTGAAGTGCAAGATGTTAGACAGGGGAGAACCATTTTGATTGTTTGCAAAATGCTCCCTACACATCACAGCCTCTTGAAAGTGATTGGGTTTGCTCAAAACAGGGCACACCAAGGTGCAATGTTCGGGACTTAGGTGGCAGCGTGCAGGAGAAACATTAAGTGCTGAGAGATTTAAGGTGCCTACAGAATTCAGTGAGAGTTCAGTGGAAGTTTGGAGGATCTACATTTTGGACCAGGGCACCTAAAGTAGGACCGAAGTGCCTAAATCACTTTGTGGAGCTAGCATCTTTGGAGCAAGGACTTTATCTTTCAGTGTGTTTGTACAGCGTGCAGCATAATGGGACCATGTGCCTGATTGTGGTTTCTGGTCACTGCTATCACATAAATATTAACTACAAGAATAATAATACAATCAGCTCTATTCCATACATCTGTAGCCTTGTATCTTTCCTGTCTAAAGAGTAAAACATGGTAGGGTACCCCAAGATTCTTGTCTTGGCATTTCCTGCTTCCCCCGAGGCCTCACCTCCACTGGAGATTTGCCCTAGTTACAACCACTGTAGTAACCACACACCAGTGTTGCTATACCACTGCAACCCATGGTGTAGACAGGCAAAATCACTATTTATACTGGCAAACTTTATCCTTGGAATCAGGAAGGCAAGCACAGATACCTGCTTCTCTTGTCTGTAAAGATTTCACTGGCACAATTATGCCCATAACTGGCCACCAATGGCTGTAACTAAGGTCTTCTGTACACTGGCAAGTTACTGCACTATACACACCCACCCTGAGTGCAGCAAGCTATAAATGCTGTAAAACACCAGTGTAAACAGGCTTTCAACATTGTTAACTCCTCCCCTCATGTTTACTCTCTCCTAGCACTCCTACAACCCCCCCCCCCCCAGCTTGACAAAGCTTTAGAAATGGTAGTTTCCTTTTACTCCCTTTTCTGTGCTTCTTTGCTTCTTCAAAATTACCAATATTTATACAGGAATTAAGCTTTGCTTCTGTAAACCTATATGTTAGAAATGGTTGGCAATAGTTTGCCTGATAATGATGGAAAGGTGTGTAGTGAAGAAACGCCACAAAACACTGGCTTAGAATTGTAGTTAAAATGTTCCATTACTTTGTGGAGAAACATCTTGTTGTGTATTTAATTATAGAAATGTAACCTGTGGGAGGTTTTGGAATAGAGCCACTGGCATTTTGGTAATGGTGAATTTCACAGTCTATTCTATAGCTTTGTTGACCCTGCTAAATATGAAATTTCACTAACAGTACAGAAAGTGAAAAGGCAATATAACTCAGGGTGTTTGGAAGTGATTTGAAAGAGAGTGGGAGAAATTACAGTATTTTATGTCACAATCCAGACAATTACCACAGAACAAAAGGCTGCTTGTAAGAAGTTTAAAAATAAACTATGAACTAAGACTGTTAATTTATATTTCAGCAAGGAGATATTTTTTATTGAACAGAAATTCTGAAAGAGACTTTTACCACTTTTGTCAATGAACCAACAGTAAAGGTCAGAGGGCTTTGCCCCTTAAACTTATGTTAAAATAAATCGGTTAGTCTTTAAGGTGCCACAGGACTCCTTGTTGTTTTTCCAGATCCAGACTAATATGGCTGTCCCTTTGATATTTTCAACTAGCACATTATGCCTCGCCTATTGGTGTCAGCTCTTTGATTTAGAGAGAGAAGAGTTAACTTAAAGACCCTCAGGACAGAAACTGAAAGAGATAAAGCTCCTGCGAGCCCTCTCCTCTCACACCATCTACTGGATCCAGGAAAAGATGCAGAAATGTGTCACCTAAGCAGGTAACTGGTTTATCACATACAACCTGAGGATGAGTGATGCTGAAAATATGCCACTCCAATTGGAAAGTGACAAAACCTGCAGGCTACCTTTTGTAAGGGTTGGACCTGACCCTCCAATCCCATTGAAAGGCAAAGATCCACATGAAAACTAGACACAAAGGCCCAGATCTGCAAAACAGGTCTATGTAGCACTTTAAAGACTAACAAGATGGTTTATTAGGTGATGAGCTTTTGTGGGCCAGACCCACTTCCTCAGATCAAATAGCGGAAAAAAATTGGCATGACCATATATACCAAAGGGATACATTTTTTTGATCGTATCCCTTTGGTATATATGGTTGTGACAATTTTTTTCCACTATTTGATCTGAGGAAGTGGGTCTGGCCCACGAAAGGTCATCACCTAATAAACCATCTTGTTAGTCTTTAAAGTGCTACATAGTCCTGTCTTCTGTTTCAGCAAGACCAAACTAACATGGCTACACTTCTATTACAGATCTGCAAAGGTATTTAGGATCCTATCTTCTGTTGATTTTCATGAACATTAGCTTCCTAAATAGCTCTGAAGATCTGAGCCTATGAGCATTTGTATGTCATTTTCTCTGTCAGCACCTGAAATGTGACTATGTGAAGAGTTCATCTGAATTTCACGTGCATATAAAGATGCAGTATACCGCTGATGAAGTTACCCTCTCTTCTTTCTGAATAGCAGGGAAACTGACAAGGTGTGGGGGTGGCTCCCTGCTTCCACCAGGGGAAGGGGTAGGGCCTTAAGCAGAAGGTATGGAGGGTAGAGCAGCCTTCCCTCCACTCTCCCACACTGTGGTGTGCCCCTCTAGCCCTCAGAGCTACCCAGAGCGCACCACCTGGCACTCTGATGGCAATTCTAAAAAATCACTGGGCCCTGGGGCAGTTTCTTCCTTCGATCCCCTGCTGTTGGTTGGTCTGCTGAAGAGAAAAAAATGAAGACCTTAGCAGCACCAGTGTGGGAGGGTTTCTTCCTCCCTGTTTAGGACATTAGCAGTTGAGTTAAGTCCTATAACCCTCACATTAAACAAGGGGAAAGTGACGTTCTTTCCTAAAGTTCAAGGATCCAGACCCCTCCCTGAAGCCAGCAAGTTGTGATTCATGGAACAAAAAAAGCAGTGCTAGAATGGTAAGACTGATTCTACACTAAATGCTATCAAGGGTTCTGATATGTATCTCATTCTCCTGACCCAGTGAGTTCTGTTCTCTAGTGGCCAATCTGAGAATGCAAGTGGATTATTGGTTTAAGAATCTGACTAAGTGTAAAGCTGGTCAAAAATGTTATACGTTTTCCGTGAAAAATTGTGAAATGAGAAACAGCAATATTTTTCTATATTTTCGAGAGGTTAGAAACCACCATAATTTCTTACCTGCTCATGTTTGCCTTCTTCTGTGGAAAAAAATTGGGGGAGGGGAATCTGAAAGTGGGAAAAACTGGCATTTTCACACAGAAAAAAAATCTTTTTAAAATTTTTCATGGTAAAAGAGAAAACGTAGAAAATTTTAAATGAAATTTTTTAAATTTCAACATGCTTTTTAAATTTCAAAATGCTTCATTGAAATACACTTATCCTTTTCTGGTGAGCTGAAACACTTGTAACTGTACAGGTTTTTGGTCTGTAGAACTATATCTTGTATCAGTAGGAACAATAACAACCTTCATTTGTCGGTAGTCTTTTTTCCTCCAAATTGCCACATATTAACGAAAGAACAAAAGAGACTCAACTTAACTGCAAAGATTTCAGGCATTTAATTTTAGCCAAAAGGGAGACCCTTACAGAAGCCCTGAGACAATTATAGCTGTATTATAGGATTGCAAGATTTGATCAGTTGGTGTGTTGCCTCATTGCCTTACACAGACATTTGATCAAACACAGTTACTACTGTTTTTATTCTCTGTGTAATACATCATGGTTCCAAATTGTTACCCATTTTGTAATACTGCACAGTTTCACTATATTACTATCTTATAAATGTTTAAAAAGGGAAGTCCATTAATCTTAATATTACCTTAGTCTAGTTGTACTAATATGGCCCAAAGTCACAAGGTATTGTAAGTGCAACCACATTTGTATAGTGATACGGCACAACATTTGAAACTGCACACGTTAGCACTGTATTGTTATTGCAGCATCATTATTTACTGTACGTAGTTAATCTCTTGAAACTGTTCTATTTATCATATGACTGTTTCTTCTGCCTTCCTGTATTCAGGACCCAGTTCTGTAAAGATACAGACATATGTAATTTTAGGAAAATAAGAGCAGTGCCGGTGCTAGACAACAAAACCTTACATAGTTTTGTTCCTTTGTTGGTGGTCTTAGCTTATTTAGCTTACCTGTTTTCTGCTACTCAGTAAAGCTTTACTGAGGTTATTTTATTCTCCTGCTGGTTTTGATAATTAAGAATTCATAAATAATGTGAAAACCTATTTGCTATTGAAATTTGTGGGTCAAATGCCTAATTTAAAATCAGGAGAAAATATTAACTTAAAACAAGGAGAAATTATTCCTGACAATCTTCCCTAGAGGCCCTTGTCTCCAAGTTGCAGGTTTTGTAAATTTTAAAATAAAAGAATTTGCAAAACAAACACATCAAAGTCCCCCTTTTAGCACCACAACAATGAGAATGACTTTGAAAAAAGTTGATAGCAAACCTGGTCATGAATTATCACCCACCTTCATAAGAATTGCAGCAGAAGCAAATCTTTATTTTGTTTTCATTAAATGTTTACTTCTAGTTGGGGAGATAGGTTATCAAAAACACAAAATCAAACATTTCTGTGGTTCTGGGTTTTCTGTGAAAAACCCACAAATTCTTGTAGAAAATGGATTTTTATTTAAAGCTTCCATTTAGTTGAGAAACCATTTTTAGTAGAAAAATCATTTAAGCAGAAAATATGTTACCAGCTGTAGCTGCTCTGTTATTGTTATTTATTATGTATAGTATTGTAGCACTTAGAAATCCCAGAAATGGTGCAAGATCCTGTTGTGGTAGGTGTTTTACAAACACCCCACAAAATGATAGTCCCTGTCCCAAGACTCCAGAGTGATCCCTAATTTAGCAAATGGAACAATTGAATGAGTATTACTTCCAAAAATTCTTAAAATTTCATTTAAGTCTCAGGAGTTTGCTCTTTAGAATCATTATTAACATTTGTGTGTGTGCGCGCACGTGCCACGCATCCACACTGCCCTCTTGCGCGAGAGCTCTTGCGCAAGAGAGCTTACACTTGTTAAAAAAGAGCATAGCTCTTGCACAAGAACTCCTCTCTTACCACGCGTTACTATAAATCTTCTTGCAGAAGAGCAGGAGGGCAGTGTGGATGCTCTACGGAAGAACAGCAGTTCTTGTGCAAGAACCTACCAGTATAGACATAGCCTCAGAAGCCTTGCAGGAAAGACCTATTCTTGCTTACAGACAACCCCCTAACCTGAAAAAAATCCTTTCCTGTAACCACAGTACACAGCTACATAATAAGCATCCAAGAATCAACCCCTGCAATCAACCCCGGAGCCAACTCTGCCCGCACATCTATACAAGAAATTTCATGACTGGACCCAACTACATCAGCCACCAAATCAGAGGATCATTTAACTGCACATCCAGTAATGTGATCTATGCGATCAAATGCCAGCAATGCCCCAGGACCGGGTAAGAAGGTTTGAGGGTAAGTGAAAAAAATTAAATTAAAATGGAGCCTGCAGGTTGCTAATTGAGAACCGCTAGCTAACATTAGAACTGACGCAGTGCCCCATAGATCTAATAGACTGCACAGAGCACCTGCAAGACTCCTTAAGCACTGCAGCCAAGCTGAGTATGTTACAATAGTCATAGAAAAGTTGGAACATATGTTAAACTGGGAAGGGGAGGTGTTAGGAGTGTGTATTGTGCCATTAAGAGCAGAGCACATGCTAGGAAGATGAGGTTGGAGTCAGTCAAGAGGCAGGCTCACCAGATACATAGATAGGAGCACATGGGTCTCCTTTGTCTTATCTAATTCTGTTTTAGTTCTAATAGAATCATAGAATCATAGGGCTGGAAGAGACCTCAGGAGGTCATCAAATCCAGCAAGGCAGGACCAATCCCAACTAAATCAACGCAGCCAGGGCTTCGTCAAGCCAAGACTTAAAAACCTCTAGGGATAGAGATTTCACCACCTCCCTAGGTAACCCATTCCAGGGCTTCACCACCCTCCTAGTGAAATAGTTTTTCCTAATATCCAACCTAGACCTCTCCCACTGTCACTTGAGGCCATTGCTCCTTGTTCTGCCATCCATCACTACTGTGAATAGCCTTTCTCTGTCCTCTTTGGAACCTCCCTGCAGGAAGTTGAAGGCTGCTATCAAATCCCCCCTCACTCTTCTCTTCTGCAGACTAAACAAACCCAAATTCCTCAGTCTCTCCTCATAGGTCATGCTCCCTAATCGTTTTGGTCGCTCTTTTAGAAGCCTTACTTCTAAAAGTCTAGATTGTGCCTTTTAGTTATGAATCCACAATCCAACCCAGTGGTAAAGGAGAGTATTAGAATCTTTCCACATTAGGAGTAAATAGGTCAACTTGACAACAGAGTGGGAAGATGAAATCTGTTGGCATCACAAATCCTTCTTTCTGCAGACTACAGATGCCCCATGAGAGGTAAAGGTTAGGTTGTGAAAGAAGCCTGCCTACAAAACCTGCTGCCTCAAGATTACTTCAGGAGACAAGACAGGAGACCCCACAGATTGTTGTAATAACTTTTGTACAAGGCACGTCTTGTGAGGTATCACTTAAAACTCGTCATTTTCTCATCACTGAGATAATGACAAAATGCACATAGCAACGTTTTACATGAAACTATGAACATAAGCTGAAATCTTGACTAAAGTACATTTTCCAGGTACATCTGAGGAGTGGCCAAACCAGTCCCTCAGGGTATGTATACACTAGCTCGTTAATTTGAGCTAGGTAGGCAAATGAGGCGACCAGAGTTGCAAATGAAGCCCAGGATTTAAATATCCCGGGCTTTATTTGCATGTTCCCCTCCGGTCGCCATTTTGAAATTTCACTAGCCCGAACTCACTGCTGTGCAGCTACACACGGCAATGAAACATTAATTCGAACTAACTCCTTAGTTCAAATTAACTGTTATTCCTCATT